AAACACATGCAGCACACACATACTGAATACCAGCATTATTCATCAGTAGTTTTCACTGAGTATCATAATATGTACATGTACATTACAAACCTCATGAGTTACAAATTTAGTTAATCACTTTATGTTTCATTATCAAGCATCATAATATAATACTTACCAGTTCTTTCCATTTTCTTTTGTTAATGTCCAGTAACCATACATCATAGGCAGGTAATCCACCCACCACTAGTAAGTGTGGTCCTGAACTAGTGGTAATCAGTACACTGGAATGACCATATCTTCCCTTAGGCCATTGTACTGATCCTCCAGGATTAGGTACTTCTAATATATCCTAAAATAAATGTTATAAAATAATTCATTTTTAAATTACAATACTTTCAATTTCAATTTAATTGAAAACCCACATTTTACAATCAAAATTTAAATGGAAACCCAGTTTGCATTCAAAAGAATCTCACAATCAAAACCCATCCTACAGTATTAACTCACCACTGATGTCTTAGTGAAACTTATCATATACAGTTTATTACTCCATCCATTATCAGTAGAGCCTCCAAACATTACTGCAGCGTTATTAGTAACGGGTATTAGAGTGAAGGAATAAATAGGAGGTGGTCTGTCTCCAGTAACAACAGGAGATATCCATTGATCTAATAATAATGTACAAACATTCATGTACACTTACTTGCCACATACACACACATACATTATACACATTCATCATACATATGTATGTGTATATGTGTGTACATTATTATTTATACATACACATCATGCATAGACACACATCACTATCACATGATACACACACACACACACACAGATACACTCATGTATAGATACACACACCATCACACACACCACACCTGTACACATGAAGGAGAGGTCCAGGGGGTCTCCTTATTTCAAGATTACTAATCTATTCTGGTACATGTCAGTTATGATTGTTAATGAATAATTATACAAAACTCATAGAACATTGTATGTGGGTAATTTGTGACTCATGTGATACAGAACTTTATTAACAATGATAA